ACCGCCATACGGGACTAAAGGCGAGGTCTCATCAATTTACAGTTATGCGAGTTAGATGTAGCCTGAACTTCCATGCTAACAGTTTCTTATCTCGCACATCTCGCTTTCATGGATCTCCCTCCCAGTCCCATGCATTTCAGCCAACTTTAATCTGAAAAAGTTTGAATGCAGTATCAATCGCTAAATATTGATTGGTGTTTTCTTTTTCTTCTGTGTTGCCTTGCTTTGGGCGATACCGATTAAAAATAAAAAATACACACACACACACACACATATATATATATATATCATATACACACACACACACACATATATATATATATATATATATATATATATATATATATATATATAGTCGTTTTAATTATTCTATTGCCAACTAATGAATAAACATACTTTTCCTCTCATTAAGTGTACACAGATGCATGATAACTAAATATGCATAGCAAACAGAAAAAAATGATATAATAGAAATAATTTCCATTTATTCATTTTAATGGGTGAAAAAAGTATTCTTACAATGCAAATTTCAGATTTTAATACTTTTAAATTGCTTTAATACTCGAGATTATTCAAGTGGAAGATTCTACAATGTTCCAATAACAGTAGTTATTTGTAGCCTAAAAATACAAGCAGAACATTCTGTAATTGATATTTGTGTAAGGTTGTTTTCATCATGGTAAGAGGTAAAGAGTTAACAAATTCGCAAAAAGAACTGATTGTTAAGCTCTGAAAAGAAGGTAAAAGTTACAGGAAAATCTCAGCGAATCTGAATATTCCATTTGCTAATATTAGTTCATTCATTGCAAAGTATAAAAACCTCAAAACTGTTAAAACCAAACATGAACAGGTGCTCCACGGAAGATTTCTTCAAGATCATCGAAGAATTAATGCGTCAAATTAAACAAAACCCAATGGTTACTCGTCAAGAGTTGCAAGATAATTAGCTTTCATCAGGAATCTGTGTCACTAAACGGACAATAAGCAATAAAATTCATAATAACAATCTAAGGTCACGCTCCCCCCTCGGAAAACTCCACTGCTATTGAAATGACACAGAGATGTCATGTTAAAATTCACTGAGACGATTAGGATAAGGAAAAATCGTATTAGGAAAGAGTATTATGGACAGACGAAAGCAAAACTTAATTTTAGAAATCATTTATAGAGAAGAGATGACGATGCCTTCAAGCAAAGGAACACAGTTCCAACAGTGAAATCTGGTGGTGGCAAAATCATGGTTTGGGGATATTTTTCTGCAAAAGGCACTGGCAACAGATCAGTAAGAGATGGTAGATTGAATGCCGCATCATATCTAAATATTTTGGAAGAAAATGTAATGATTTCGGTCGAAAAACTTGAACTGGATCTTCCAGCAAGGTAATGATTCTAACCACACTGCAAAATTTTCGAAGTAATGGCAATGTAAATATTCTGAAATGGTCAAGTCAGTCCCCAGATTTAAACCCAAACAATAATCTGTGGCGTTATTTGAAAATTCAAATCCAGTCGAGAGCTCCAATAAACATCCCGAATCTAAAGACTATATGCAAAGAAGAATAGAACAAAATACCAACTTAAAATGGCTAAATCAGATTTATTTCTATTAAATCAATTTTTTCTGTCTTCTATGCATATTTACTTATTATTTTTTTTCTGTTTCTAGTAAATTATTATTGAAAAGTATGTTTATTCATTAGTTGGAAATACAATAAATTAGAAATTTGTACGTGTACAAATATTTGTTTTCCCCACACTATATATATATATGATGCGTGAAAGCAATCAAAGTTTAAATATAAAGGTATTACAAATTTTATTGATGACTAATATTAATCTTCTCCATTGAACATTAAATATTCGATGCCTACACTTCTTATATTTTTTTGTTTCGATACTCAGATAAATGTCTATTCAAATTTAATATACAAACATATACTATAAATACTTATCTACCTCACTGTTTCCACATGTACGCATTTTTGCACACAAGACGCCCACCTTTGGACGGTTTGTAATAGATTAGTAGTCTTCAGAAATGCATGGGCAGGTGGCGAGTTCGATTCCTCGAGGTGGGGACCTCTTGATAATATCAGCATGGGTAAACAGGAACTAAGGTTCGTTCAGTTTAGTTGCAGCATAAACCAAATGTTGGCTTTGTGGATTTTAAAGAAACAGAAATGTTCCTGAGCAAGCGAGCATACTCGGGAAATAAGCAGCTCTCTACTGGTAATAGTAATTAGCTGTTTTCTTATAAGGAAACATTCGGTATTCATAAACTGAGCAGCATGTACCACTGTTGACTGTATTTTTTAAAATCTTTATCTTCAAACAATTTTTCAGGAAAATAGGTTTCTAAAGTCCATTAACTATTCTCCTTCTTCCCAGTATTCGTGTGGGTTTCCATCCTAACCTTTTAGTTGAAGTATTGTGGAATATCAACAACTTCATCATATCACCATTTTCTTGTCGAGTTACATGTGATATCATTTTCAGCTGTTTCTTCTGTTGAAAGTCCTCAAATGAAGTTATTTGCATATAGTGATCGGACAATTAATTTGAATCAAGAATTGGAAATATCGGAACTTTGGGGGGTATCAGAATCAGAGAAGTTTTAACCTAATTTCCAATTCCTAGATTTTTTTTTTTGTTTAAAATAGTGTTCTGTGTTTGTGCTTCTGCAGTGTGAATCCACAACGTTTGAAGGAGAGTGGTGTTAACTAGGACTTGCAGGCTTCACCCAATCAAAGCTATTTTAAACATTGATCTTAGAAAGTGTATACAGCTGACAGATTTGATATTTCTGAACGAGTTTGGCACCATGAATGGCCTCTTTATTTAAGGACATGACTTAGAGTTTTCAGGTTAATGTTTTGGTTTTTTTGTTTTGTAAATATTTATGTCGTGGGACGAAACTAGTTCTAGAGTAGTCTATTCTATGTCCAATTCCATTATCTCCTCTACTAATATGTTATAACTGATCCATACACCGATTTGGTTTGACAATGAAAATAGTTTCTATTCCATTTGAGTTCACACTTATTCTGGCTTTATGCCAGAACTTACTAAGATCATTAAATAAGTACATATAGATAAATATATATATATATATATATATATATATATATATATATATATATATATATATATATATATTAGTTGCCTAATAAAGTATAACTCATGGCTTTGTCTGAACAATACCTTCTATGACAGGTTCTGGTGTTGTTGAGTGGCTATTTCCTTTCAGATACATTTTAAAGCTGCCCCCAACTAAGTTCAGTTTGGTGAATATAACATGTTTCTTTTAGTGAAGTCGCCAACGTGTTCCATACATACATGCTTAACGAGATTTAATTTTGTTGAAATTAATGAGGGCCAAAATGTCTATAGAAATTGAATCCTTCTTTGGCAGTCTTGTGAGAGACAACTTACTTTCCCACACTGCAACCTGTTTCCCGGAGATGCAATGTTGCAAGCCCGCTCCTAATCTCTCGCTATTTCCTTGCCAAGTGCTCAGATGAACATTTATTAGTTCAACATTTTAGACCTTTTGAGCTAGGACACACCATGTTACTTTCATTGAATCGAATCACTTCCATTTCCTCCGGGTTTCAAATAAAAAAAAAAGTTTCCAATCAGAGAGTTTTTTTCCAAGAACTGCCAAGTTGTGGAACAGACTACAACTTGGTTGTTTCTTTGAAGGCTTCAATCATGGCCTCTTTAAGCAAAGTCAAAGCTCAGTTTCTATGTGTCATCCTTAACGTCATAATCTTCACTTCCTTTTCCATTCATATCACGCACTTCATTCAGCTTCATCATTTTAACTGTCAGCGTCTAGCTTGAATGACTCTCGAGCCTGGAACTGGAGGAAATTTGGTAACAAAAGAAAGGAATTATGTTCTCGTGATGAGATTGGATGTTTCTGAAACAATTAATACCGGAAAATATGGTTAGCATCAAAGGATTCAAGGAGTCCGCTACATGAACTGAGTAAAGAGATTTTCTTAGGCAAGTCGATATTTACAAAATAACATGGTATTAACGAATGTTAATAAAACTTTCAGGTATATAAACAAAAATTATCAGATTGTCAGTTTACAATATGAAACATTATTTAAATATTGAGAATAAATTTTAGAGGTGTTGACATTATTTATTATGCAAAAAAAAAATAATAAGTGTAGCATATATAAATCCAAACGATATCGACCATGGAAACATGTCACTGAATAAATTATTATTTTAGATATAAATCTGGTTCCTTTGACATTCTATGATCTTAATTAATCTTTAATCTATTGATTTTCGTAAGCCTTCTACAGTTAGGAATTTAACATCACTTACAGAAGTTTTCATTGCTTTATATTTTTATAAGTACCTCTTTGACAGAGTGGGTAAAAATTCTCAACACTACTCACTTTTCGAAATCAGTTTTCTAATATTTGACCACTAGAATACTGATTCTGGAGAATGGAGCGAATCAAGAATTTCTCAACACTCTACCTGTAAAAAAAAAAAATCTTTAAGAATTGTTAAAGAAACTTGAGAAAATATCGGCCAAAAGGTTAAATATATTGAGTCATTGATATTTTTTACGGCTTATCAAAATTTTGTAGTTATTTAAAGCCAGACAATATTTTTAGATTGTGAGAATCTTTTGGAGATAATAATAATTTACTGATCCAAGTCATATTAATTTAACCCATAGCTAAGGGGAAGAAGTAGTGATTTTATACTTTTCACCAGGGTATTTGCGCATAGCTGAATATAATCAACTCGACTTAAATTGGAACTCGACTTTGGAGTTTAAATTCCGATAGAATATTTATTAAATTACCCGTACATTTAAAATTTTTTAATAATGTATTCTCAAGCGATCAGATACATCTAGCTACAATGACCAGAATCAAAATTTGCTTAACTTATTTTGAGGAACTGTGTTTCAGCATGATATATATTGAAAATATAGAATAACGTACATTTCATGGATGTAGGTGGGACCATTGAAACACCGGTCCCCGTACGATCACAGAAATTAAGCAACGTTGAGCCTGGTTAGTATCTAGATGGGTGACTGCTTGAGAATTGCAGGTACTGTAAGTTTGGATGAGCACGTGGTATAATGGATAATTGTTAATCGGAGAGCCGAGTTCTAATCCCTGTTGGATTCGTTATATTCACTTAAATACCCATGGAAAGGTATAAATCTCCCACAGTTATGCTTTAATTAGCAATAATTGTATCATTAAACCATTATCTCCCAAACCAAAAAACAAAACAATTCTTACACTCTAAAAAAAATTCTGGCTTGAAATAATCTGAAGAGGTCTGATAATCCGTAAAGCATAAATTAATAAATCAATCAATTGGTGGTACCAAGTATTTTTTATCACAATTCCGTATGTATGTACTGAGTGTATGAGTCACCTAGAGATCGATGGATCATAAGCAAAACTTGTTGTTCATTGCTTGTGAGTTTGATTTTCACCGTTCTCCATATAGTGATGTACCAGTTTAAGCTGAGTAAATATCTTCAATTTATATTCATATATATATATATATATATATATATATATATATATATATATATATATATATATATATATATATATATATATATTAACACGAATAGTTTTGAGAATTCCAGCAGTGGGTACGGAATCTTTCTTAGTCTCTTTCTGAGTCTGTAGGAAAACTGTAGGCAATTTCTACTTTAAAGGAAAGGGAATAAGTGCTGTCGTGATATTCTCCGACCTTTTGGGTAAAGTATCTCATATATATCACAAAAATCGGACCGTGATCGGAAATTAAAAACATTCCCATCTCTATATATACATAAAAAATCGACTCAGTTAAACAGAAAAAAAGCCTTGATAATGGCTAATGTATTAGCCGAAAGCAGTCTGATTTGTAGATAATTTTTATAGTTTTTACAAGAACCCACTCGTACGAATGCAAAAAATAATTAATCAAAAGCTCAATCTTTGTGCCTTATCAATCGTATTCAATTAAACTTGTAAAAGAGAGGGATTTGCTATTCAAATACACTCTACACCATTCTGACCATAGCTCAATTAGATCTCATTTAAATATTCATGGAGACCTACCGGACCCTATTCGTAACCTACTTGTTGACAAGAGAAATATAATAGCATTATCTACATGCAAAAAAGGCCCCAAAATAATGGAAGCCTTATTAATAAAAACAAAAAAACCCAACACTTAATATTAGCTATGAACGTGGACACAATATCTTGACTGTTTGGAAAAATGAAAACATTATATAAATACATACATGCAACAAACTACTTAATCTTTGAAAATGGTTAAATGTATAGCCGAAAGCGCTCGGATAAAAAGAACATTCGGATAGTTTTATATAATTTATCATCAGAAAAGAAAAAAATTATTAGATCGCATGAGTAATTGTATAAATAAAAGCACTTTGTCTGTCATATTCAATGAAATGTGCATGACAGAAACTTCTGTCTAAATCTAAATACAAACAACACACACACATATATATATATATATATATATATATATATATATATATATATATATATATATATAATGTTGTAAATCTATTTAAACTCGGTGGGTGAAAAAACCTGGATAACACAGTTTTTAAACAAATTGGCATCCGAGGTAAAGTTGGAAAAAGAAGAAAAAGCCGAAACCGCCAAACAGGGCGAAAGAAATCGTTCAGTGCCTTAAAATTTCTGGTACAAAGAATAAAAAACAAACAGCGAATAATAAGTTAAAACGAAGAGTGCTCAATACGTTAAGTAGAGCAAAAGTAAAATAAATAAATCCTAATGAACCAGGTACTACCTACCTAGGTTTCTCCACATGGGATCATCAGGGTGAACTGGTTAAGGAGGAATTAACGAGGAACAAATTTATTGATAAAATTACGGCTAAAATCTAAAATTGGCATAAGCCTAAAAAGGTATAAATCACGTGTCTAAAAAAATAAAATAAAACTTTATTTCAATAACCAGGCATTGTATGTCTGCATCTACGAAGGATTTCCGACCTCTGGTTTAATAACATTTTTATATTTATTGAAGGTAGCTATAAATATCTCTCCTCCATATATAATATAAAAAGCTACATTATACTTACATATGACTTTATACTTACAATATATATATATATATATATATATATATATATATATATATATATATATATATATATATATATATATATATATATATATTATATATATATATATATATATATATATATATATATATATATATATATATATATATATATATATATATATATATATATATATATATAATTTGAACAATAAAAAAAATTAAAAAAATTAAAATCTTCAGACACACTGGGTTGTAGATTAATATTCTTTCGTTTTTTTTTTATTTTATTATTTCATTTAGATTCCTCGACTAGTTTCGGACCAAAATGGCCATCATCAGGAGAAGAAATATTTCTGCTTGCTGGTAGCAGTGAACTACAGAAATGAATGTCTTGATGGAGAAAATGAACTTTTGTCTGTAGTTTTCATTTGTTTTTTTTTTTTTTTTTTTTTAACATGAATCTTTTAACATTCCTTGTGTTGGTCAAACAGTCTCTTTTAAGTTGTTATTTGAGATAAGAGCTGGATAGATACATTTTGCTCTGAATTCCCTGGTCAGTTTGACAGTTTTATTGGTTCCTGGAAGGGGATGTGTCTCTGTTTAGTGTTTGTGTGTGTGTTATTTGGTTCTTAGGGAGTGAGTGAGTATGATATGTGTAAGCGTGTGTATTGCTGTGTGTGTGTGTTATCATTTGGCTCATTAGGGGAGTGAGTGAGTATGATGTGTGTAAGTGTGTATATATTCGTGTGGGTGTGTGTATAAGTGTGAGGCCTCAACATTCTCCATAAGTTGTCTGTCTTGTGTGGGTGAGAAATGTGGGTAGGTTTTGATTTGTTGATTATATATTAATACTATCTATATTGTTAAATTTATGGTTTAGCCTGGCTGGATATTTTGTTTTTTAAACGTTGTATCCACTTATTTTCATGGAACTCTAAAATCTTTCTAATGTTATCTGCTCTGAACTTTTCTATTCTCTCAATTATAGTGAATTTGGCATGGGTTTTTGAAATCGTGTTTTCCAGGCGGAAATATTGTTCTACAGGTAATAATTTTTTATATTTTTATTCGACTTAATTATATTGCGATAATTATTAATTCTGTAAAAGGGCCATTCAGATTTTCCTATATATTGTTTCTGGCATAGTGTGCATTCTAAGGTAAATTATGTTATGAAAACACAGTTAGAATCGAAGATTTTTTTGTTTTATCATTTTTGATTTTTATCAATTTGAATGAATCATTTTTTATTTTGTATTGGTAAAAAAGTCTCTTTTTTTTTGTTACATGGTATGAGAAATATGGACCCATTTTACTCTAATTTATAATCATTTATTACATTATTATCCTGAAATGATTTGTCTTTAAATCAGTATTTTTTTTTAGGTTCTTAGGTTTATATAAGCCATAAAATTGCTGTGTGTCATAAATATATTTTTTAAGGTCTTTTGATATGTAGTTTTGTTCATGTGGGTGTGTTTTAATTATTTGGATATTTTCATGGAATATAAAAATTGATTTGTCGGGTAAATTTACTAAGCCTATATTTTTAAATTTATGGTTTAGCCATCTGGATAGTGTGTTTTTATCCAAATTTTTCATATTTATTTTCATGTTAAAATTTTTTCTTGCTTGATGGGAATTAATCTCTCTCAATCTTTGAATGTGAAATGGATTTGCTTAAATTTTAGGCGTTTTATCCTTTCTACCTAATAATGTTTCATGAAATTGTAATTCGATTGTTAATTATTAATTCTTTAGTGAAGAAATCTCATAAAATCCTAATATTTTTCTGTTAAGTGTTTTTTCTTTGGTTTGCTATGTTAAATTCTACAGTTAAATCGTGTTAGATTTTGAAAATAAATTTTTTATTCATATATATATATAGTGTGTGTTGTGTTTGTGTGTGTGTGCCAATTGTGTAAATTCGCTACAGCATTTAAACATAATAATACTTTCCATGATATTATTTTGAAATTTGTCTTTGTCTTACGTTTAAATTGGACATTCTTTGTTAAAAACATTTGATGGTCTTTTTATAATTTTTTGCCCGCATAACCAATTATAATCTAAAATCTTTTTTGCCCTCTGTCGTCAATCAATGATGGAAATTTGGCTATGAAATTTTATAATAAACATAAAAATATATATCCTCAAATATATATTGTTATTAAAATATATGTTTTTCCTTTTCTTACGAATAATATTTTAATTCGGAAAAATCAATTCAAATGAACTGCTCAGATCAAATACACTTTCTTTATTCAATTCAATATGTCCACCACCTTTCAACTTTAGTAACATATATGCGATAATTTCATTCCTCCTATATACGATCAATAAGTTATTCGATGTTTTTTACAATTGACTTTAATGGGTAATATTTTTTTAAAAATAGGGTATCCCCATAATTAAAAATCGCACATAGTGAATTTTTTCGTGGCCAAGGACTGTTCAATTTTTGACCCTTTCAGAAAATCACAAAGAGTTCTTATATTTAAAGTAATTTTCTCTTTCATGGAAAAATTCGATTTGTGGACTTCTGTAACTTTAAATTCTTGCCACTTGTTCCCCCCAAACCGTGGGTTAAAAAGAAAAAATTTATATATATATATATATATATATATATATATATATATATATTTGAGTTTTAATTTTAGATTTTACGAAATTTAACATCTAGGAAAATAATTGGTCCCAGTTTATAATTCGAAAAATTGGTTTTTTTAAAACCGAATATTTTTTTATTTTTGCAAACTTTAATAATATAACAAATATATGAAATGTCTATTTTCCAATGCCAAATTTTTGTACTGTTAATATCTGTAAATGTTAGAACAAATTAAAAATCTTTCGTCTGAACATTTGAATGGATTTTTATAGCTTTTGTTTTTATTGAAAAAAAGGGTTGGATTGAAAAATTTTAATAATTTTGAATTTTCCAAAGCCGTGGATATATAATTAAAATCTATAAATACATAATCTATT